GGAAAAATATAAATTGTAATGTTAAAAATCTAAAAAAAATTTGACAGGTTAAAAACTTAAGATAAATCACAAGACAGAAGTCAATGTCACAAGTGAATAACTTTTATTTTAGAGTCACGGTATGTATAATAATACCATTAATATAATGTGACTTTTCTAGAGAATCATTATACATAGTTATTTTATACAGGGTTTCCACGGTCTGACATAATTTCAGAATTCCCTGACTTTTAACTGACTCAGGATTAGTTTTCCCTGACAAAATAAATGCAGCAAAGACAATAATAATAACATAGCAGGTCACCAATTTAACATGTTTAGCTCTATAACATTTAAATGCACCTCTCCAATGTCTAGAGAAAAAAAATAATGAACCTTTTTTAATGTTTGACCTGCATCACTGTACAGAAGACTGCCATTACTCCACTAGCAGGACCCCCATTACTCCATGGGGGTCCTGCTAGTGGAGCTTGATGAGTTGTAGATGGTTGAGTGAGCAGCAACTGCTGCAATGATCCAGGAGAACAAAAACAGCAACCAGCCCTTCTGACAAATATGGAGCTTTTTGAAAGTCATCAATTTCACCTTCTTACTTAGAACCTTTGTTCCATTTTTCACTTTGCTAAAAGTTTTCCAATATGAAACTTTACCACGATATGTCTAATGTTCCTAGAAAGAATCACTCTATATGTTTACATTACAACCAAATAATTAAATCATCCAGGACATGTGATCTTTAGGGAAAAACATATGAAACATACGTCACCTGGTCAGCAGAAAATCTCTAACAACCTGTCAGGAGCTTCTCACCCTGTGCCTTCAGCTATGTGGAAAGGTTAGTGCTTATGGTGAAATTACAATGTAATCAGTTGACTTTCTGCATCTGCAGCCTTACCTCGGCTTTTTCATCATGGAAAGTTGTCAGTCTACTGTTCATGGAAGAGATGGCTTCATTTTTCAGACAAGGGTTTAAACTTCTTTAAGCTGTCTGGATCTATTTTAGTCTGTCTACTTAAAATTCTGTGCAAAGCAGAAATGCAATCACACTTCAAAAATACCTTCCATCACGGCTCTGTGGCTTTACGGCAGACAGGCATCTGCTGTATGCAGTGATTATGTAGCAGGGTGTTGTGGAGTATGGAGTGGTGTCAAAAGGTGAGGCAGGCTTGTGTGGTCCGCCCAACCCAGCTAAAGCTTTGGCTGTTACTCAATGAACAGTGCCCAGAGAGAGATGAGCCTTCTGGTCTCAGTTTTACATCAAGATGAAAAGATTGTTTTCTAGGGGAGCAAAGCAACTTTTTTCTGAAAAGTTTTATTCCTAAAAGTTTAATATCTGATGTGTTTTCTCCTGAAGATTAATGATTGAGGTGGGTCATTACTCTTTCTCGAGACTGCACAGTCTGTCTAAATGTTGCTTCTGAAAACTTTAAATTGCAGGTACCATGCCGAATTTGAGGATGATGAGCGATTTTAAGGCAGATTTACCTTTATTTCATTTCATTGACTCTAACACGAATTTAAAGCAATATGTCTTATATACATTGTAAAACAGTCTAAAATTATATATAGACACATTGTATTAAGACGATATTAAAGGTTAAAAAATTCTGAAACTTGTTGTTTTGGCATTTTCTCTGACAATTTAGAAGTGTGATGTATTTTTGTACCACTGCAGATATGGAGCAGAGCTTTTCAAGAGCTCATGGACCTTTCAGTGAGTGGCATTAATACACTGAAAGGTGCTTGTTAACTAGCATAAACCATAAGAAGAAATGTGAGTGGATAGGTTCAGGTTCAATTTAGAAAAACAAAAAATAAAATTGGGGCGTCATTCAACCAATTTCCAAAAGACTTTGACACTTCAACACACTTCGTTTATGCCACAACCAATTCAAAGAAGGCGCCTCCAACCCTCAGATATTGTGGTCATTTGACTGCATCCCAAAGAGGTAGGGTTTTTGCTCAGAGTTTATAAAAGAAAGGAGGATAACTTTTAACAAAAACCTTTTAACATTTTGCCTCAACTCTCTAGCTTTCATTTTTTTCTTTTTCTTTTTTGTTTCATTCTCTGTGTTAATTAGATATGAAATATCTAATAACGTCTTTGAGCTAAACAAGGTCACACTTGGCATCCTTTGTTTATTGAAAGAAAACCCGAAGTACAGAAGTAAATCAGATTTGATAAAAGTTATAATAAATAAGAATTCTATGAAAATAAATAAAATTCAGACTTGGGTTTTCCACCACTACTCAACAGGACTTTAAAATAAAATACATTTATGAAACACATATTATTTTTGAAATTTAAGATCCATGGGACTGTGATTGACCTTCTTTGACGTGGCCACAGAACAAAACAAAGAAAAAACTCAAGGGACATCAGTCTGGCCGTGCTTTGGTGACGCAGTGGTTAGCGCACACGACCCCTGTATGGAGGCCTTAGTCCTCGACGCAGGCATTCCGGGTTTGAATCTGGCCTGTGGTCCTTTCCCATATGTCTCTCCCCCTCTCATATACCCCCTTTCCTGTCAGCCTACTGTCCATAAAAACAAGCCACTAGTGCCGTAAAAACTAAAAAAAATAAAAAGGAACATCAGTGTCAGATCAAACCACATGTCACTGTTTGAGCTGTGTATCAAATAGACTAAATGGGAGACGACAAGAAGGACACTATTTTTTAAAAATAAATCATAAAAAAGTCAGACTAGAATTTGCCAAACTCCGTGTTAACAAGCCACTAAGCTTCTAGTTCGCCTATTGACAAACATGAAACATTTTGCTAAGGTATATCAGCCCTATGTTCTGGAATTTCTTTGCTTCCTCTGGCATAGGGTGTCTAAGTCTCTGCAGAGATTTTAGAGAGAAATGTTCTGCCCACTGTCAGAAAGCTTGGTCTGAGCTTGATCTCTTCATGGGTCTTGAAACAGGATAATGACCCAAAACACACAGCTAAAAAAACGTCCCAAAATTGCATAGAGGAAACATTGGACTACTCTGAAATGGCCTTCTATGAGTCCAGACCTAAATCCTATGGGGAAATTCAAACAGTAAAACATACATTGCATTGCTGGCCCTCCAACAGACTGCACTCTCCTTTATAAAGAGCTTTTAGTATGATTCCCTTACTTTGACTGTGAGAATGTTCAGTTAGATGTTAAAATGTTTGAGTCTGTTCAGAAACAAGTCCTTCTCAAGAAAAGAGGATATGGCTCCACTTTACTTTATTAGGATTGTTGTTATCATCATGCTTTTATGGAAAACACATCTACCATCAAGGTGGTGGATATATCCTGGGATCCATATTATATCATTCAGAAACAGATCCACCTCAGTCAAAGCAAATTCCTTTCTTGGATTTCTGGTATTTTATCTTGCAGAGTCTATATTCTGGGGAAACAGAACATTGGGAGGAGGTGACGGTGGTGCTGTGCCTCCCAGGAGCTTCAGTACTTGCTGACATTTACTCATGACTGACGTGAGCTTGAATAGTGCCCTCTCCGCTGAGATAATTTCTCAAACTGTCACGTTGGACTGAGGGCAGACTGCATAAATTCACTTTAAACGCTGGCATATAATGGTTATAAAAAAAAGTATAAGACAGAACAGGAGTCAAATGCAGCTAAAATTAGTCTTAAAAAAATTATCTTTGGTTGAATTCTAAAAAGCATATTACATTAAATATGGTTTAGAGCCTGTTTGCTGCCTTAAATGATGTATTAGATCTTAAGTCCCAGCTGTTTGCAATTTGCCATAGTTACTCTATATAACATAACTCTAAGATGGACTTACCAAGTATGTGGAAGTTGAGAGTATATCCATTACTTTCATTCTTCATGAAGAATGCATACTTTGAAAACCACAGAGAAACTTAGGGTGGAAGAACTGCTTCTTTTTATTTAGTAGAGACAGGAAAGCTGGTCTGAAAACAGAACAGTGGAGGAAAATCAGTTAAGAATGTGACAGAAGGTTGACTGTACTAAAATACAAAAAAACTTGCAGAAAGAACAACAATTAAGTTGTTCAGATTTAAACCCAAGGAAGCCGGCTTAAAATTTAGACCTAAATCCCAATGGGAATCTGCTAGCGCTTAAAAAAGATGTCCAACCCGATGCTGTCCACCCAGCCTCACTAGTCTTGAGTTAATCTATAGAGAATAATAGATAAATGTTTTCTATAAGTGCAATGCAACCATAGACATATCTGAAAAATACCTCCACGTGTTCTTTCAATACATCTGCCTGCTGCATTCTCCAATTTTCCTTAAAACAAATAAGAAAATTGTGTTTCCTTACACTTCAAAATTCTCAACTATTTTGTGTTACTTTAATACAGAAAAGAAAAAAAGGAAAAATAATTGGATCCTAAAACTGAAAGTGTATAAATATTTTTAAGGCACTTTAAAAAATTGCAAGCTAGCTTTTAAATACGCTAGTTTAGCAAAAAGTCGTGTGAGGTAAAACTTAGCAAGTAAGGTGAACTTTGGCACCTGCAGGTGTAGTTTTGACTGCACTCACTTGATAATAACTAAACTTTATATATCTCACATTGGAGAAATTTACCTCTGCATTTAACCCATCCTCTTGGGTAGCAGTGGGCTGCCATCGTCGGGTACCCTGGGAGCAGTGTGGGGGTAAAAGTTCTTTGCTCAGGGACCCAGAGCGGCAGTCTGTGGGATTGGGGCTCGAACTCAGAACCTCAGGATTCCAAGCTCTATGCCCTAACCAGTAGAACACCACTCCCCCACTAGGCTGCCACTTCCAAAATTGATGACTGATATGATTAAGGTACTTTTTTTTTTGTCCAGCTGCCTCCATGACTCAAGTGCAGGACTCATGCTTTATAGCAGCATCAACCTTTACAAGACGCGCCACTGCACTAATATGCATCTGTAAATCCCTCTCTACCTCTGGACAGACCACCTCTCCCTCTTTACTGCCTGATATGGAGGAAATGCCCCTGTTTCTCTTTGAAGCACATAAAGCCAGAGATACTTTATGTCATTTGGTATCACAATTTTATTACAAAAATTAAATTCTTCATCTGTCAGTTTTGCCATGCTTGGAGCATATAACAATACAGTAAAAAACCCAGACCCAGAGAGGATAGTAAAGCAGATTTCAACAATGCTTTCACAGCACTCTGTCAGTCATGCTGTTACTATACAGACACTGTAACATTCCTAATACAGAGTAGTACAAACACCTGCCAAAACACATCATGTCAGATAACAAACTGTAATTAAATCACATTTACCAACAAGAGAGAAGAATAAGAAACTTAACCCAGCAAAAAAAAAAATCAATAAATGAGGGAAAAACGCAAAACTAGGAAACACTGAATCTGCAACTGAAAACATACCAAATGTGCTGAATATTCATACCAGCCCAAGGCACCCAGGCTTTGTAGCAATGTTGGCGAGTTAACGACATTCTTACAGCAAAATAAATAAAATAAAAACTCAGAACAATGATTCCAAATTGACTTTTAACCGCAGTCTGACTTTGTGCAATGTCCTTCATCCTTTGCATTGTCCTCTTTATCAGTCACAGTGCAATTTCCGGAGGGTGGGGTAGGGTGGGGTGGGGCAGGGGACGTTGGGCTTTGTAAAGCAACGGAGGGCCCAGGAGGAGTCTTGGGGTCATCAGGAGCTGTACCGCATCAGACATCACAGCGCCAAACCCTGACAGAGATTGGACGGACAGCATAATCTCCCGCTTTCCAAGGTAACAAGGAAGGGAAGAGGCTGATGGGATCGGTTATTTAATTCCTCACTTGGATTGTAAATCGTCAAAACATGAGGCGCAGATTGCCAGCTGCCAGTCCAAGACGAAAATAAGCCCGAATGAAGTGCTTTAAACTGAACATCCGAAAAAATAAGAAAATTAAAACAGCAGATACCAATATTTTCTCACAGATGCCTCCGAGAGGAATGAGATTTTCTTTTTTTCTTTTTTTTTTTCGCCCCTCCTCAAGTTGAGAGCTGTTGTTTGTGCACAGGAATACCAAAGAGTGACATAAATCCCAGATTTAAGCTTACCAATAACACTCTAAACAAAGGTCAAATGAGGACGGAAAAGACAAAAGCTCAGAAATACATGGAGGCATTTTTTTCTGAAAACCAAGAGATACGGCTCAGTTGATTGAGCCGCATGGCTCGAAGGTCCATTTAGTAGCTCCGCCAAATATTTCAATGTTGCTCTCTGTCCAGGAGAAGACGTTACCGGTAGGTGCTTTGCTGTTGCAGGTTGCCAAATAGGAGATTTCATTGACTGAGAGTTTCCTGTTCCAGATGTTTAAGTGTGCCAGTTCACCGACGTAAGCTTGTGTCGCATCAAAGCCTCCTCCCAGTGTGTCCTGTGGAGCAAGATGAGAAATTGTCAGGATATGAAACTATATTACAAAACATACCAAAGTGATCCCATCTGTTTAACATTTTGTCGTATTACAACAACCAACTTCAAACTTCCAAAACTGCATTTATGAGATACAGTTTTCCAAGTCGTTCACAAATTTAAATATAAATATGACAGTATTTATGTTGAGACCCCTTTACTCTGACATCACTAAATACATTTTAACCCAACCAATTCTCTTCAAACCTTCCAAAATGAGCAAATAGTGTAGGGGACATGGCAGAAGGGAAGCTAGTAAGAGATGATGAGAAGCTAGAAAGAACATGAAGGATGTTGGTATAAGAGTTGACACTGAGGTTAAGTTTCACTTTCCAGCAAAACCTCACCAGAGAAGGCAGAACTACAGCACATTGGCAAAGATCAAGATTTTCCTGTGCTATAATTGGACCAGTGAAAGTCCAGACCTGAACCCAATAGAGCATCTCAGAAAAAAGATGAGGTTTGCCACCCCCTGAGGTCCTTCATCTATTAATATCAAACATTTCTCCAAAAAAACAGGTTGTCTCTTTTTCTCTTTCTTTTTTTTTGGGGGGGGTATCAAATTAAAGGAGGTTAATAAAACAGCATCACACATTTTTAAGATGCTCATTTATAATTGCCTGTGTAGATTCTCAGTCATCCAAGTCATGGCAACCACTAAACAGCCTTAAATTGGAAGACAATTGGAAGCACACCAGACTTATGCTCGGTTTTTTTGAAGGCGTTTTCACGCCTATCCAGGAGTATTTAGCAACTCTTTTGGCTTGCACCACAGTTATTTATAAAAATTTTTGTCTTTTCATGCTACTTTGCAATACTTTTTCCAAACAGTGGCATTAAATTGAGCCCAATTGGCTCCTAAACACATTTATTTGGAAACCATTACAGGAAAGTGACCATTAAAATCAGAAGAAATTAACTTTCACCAAAGTTCAATACTAATTTTCTGCTCGCTAATTTAAGTCTTTATTGCATCATGCTGTGCAGAAATCCTCTGAATGAAAGCAAGCCGTCAGCTGTGTTTCTAGTTTCCAATTTAGTCTTAGCAGACAAAACAATCTTAAATAAACACAGTAGTTAGTCAGCTAAAGGACACATCCTAAGAATCCGCTTGGTCTTATATTCTGACTATCTCCATTTCTAATCTGTTGGCAAAATTAAACAGGTGAATTGTTTCGGAAGCAGTTTCCAAAAGCTGTGTCTGGGGGAATTGCAGCGATTGCAATCACTGATTAAAAAAAATATCCATAAAAAAATAAAGTATTCACCTGCTCTTGTCCCAGAACAAGCACTCCATCTGGTTTGATGGGGTGATATGGTGCCAGATTCTCCCCACTACCCCGCTTCACTCCATCCTGGAAGGCCTCCCACATCCCGTCACGAGTGGTCCACGTGATGCAGAGATGATGCCATTTTCCATCATTGATGAGGAACGGCAGCTTTGCAACCTGAAGAGAGAAGATATCTCCTGAGTGCACCGACTTTTCATCCTTGTAATAATATCCTGCTCTGGGTATACAATAGCGTGAATGCTCAACAGCCTCTCTTCCTTCTGCTGAATCACTTCCTCTTTCATGTCTCATCTTTTAAAGAAAAAATTGCCTCTATTGAACAATTCATCACCTGTTTTTATCCTTTCTCCAGTCTCCCCACTCTGACTCATCCAAGTATTATAAAAGAGTAATAAAGTCTTTTTCCATCTTTCAGATCTCTAATAACTAATATGTAGCCAATCTAACCAGTCGAATAATATGAACATTGAATGATTCTGACATTAAAACCCACCTTGTCATTGATGAGGAACTCCATGGGGTTGTTCCCCCACTCAATCAGCACAAGTTCATTAGCTTGGCCCGGAACTGCGTAGGAAAAGGGCGTTCCCACCCCAGGTGAGGCGTTGGACTTTATCCACAGACACACACTGAAAGAGTACATTTCAGGAAGACTCCTCTTGGCTTTGGCATACATGTAGTTGGTTCTCAAAGGGAAGGTAAGCTGGAAGCTGTCTGCTGGCCTGGTCTCTTTGCCTGCAGGTTAAAGAGGCAATGGTTTAGTTTGACCTTATTGCGACCTATAATCCCTAACATAGAACAATAATATTTATGTTGTTGCAGTTAAAACATATGTAAGAAAGAGGATATTAATATAAATCATATATTGACCATAATTATGTATAATTTATCTATTGTAATATTTACTTATATGATATAGAAAGAAAGAAAACAGCGTTACAGGTTAACTGAATTTCCCTGCAGCAAAGAAATCAGACAGGGCGTTTTACATTTGCATAATAACATTCTGGCTTCTTTCTACTTTTGAGATTTTTGCTGATGTAGAGGATGCCCCTGTCTCCTCCCTCATGCTCTCATTTACATTTAAAGCAGGCGTATTCACGTGTTGAAATCCTGAAAAGACCCTGTGCTCCAGAATGCGCCAGTTCAAAGCGCACACTTCAAACTTCTTTCACTACATTTGACCTCTGCAGCAAAGATTCCCTTGGCATGTACAATCCTGAAAAAAATAACGCAACCCTTATTGGCAATTACTTCATCATATTTAGTGGCAATTACTTCATCATAGTTACTTTAACACAATTGTTTTTATGTTAGAAGGGTAGGACATAAAACAATTGTGTTAAAATAACTAAATGGGACTAAGCAAATTCCAAAACCGGTTGCATTATTTTTTTCAGTTTTTTGCTTTTGGCAATGCAATGCTTCCTGATTCTTGTTAAAAATTAAATGGTTTTACCTCACCTTTTTTCCTAAATAGTTTAGGAATCCTCTTGCACGATGATTCATTATCAATATCACTAAACTGCATTTGATCTAGCTTTATATTTGCCAACAAATGCGCGAAAGAAACGTCGATTAAGGCAGAGGTCCTTGCGCGTAATGTTAATCCAGACGCACCTTTCTCCAGGTCTGAGATCCTGTGGTGCAGAGAGGTCAGGGTGGACTCCACTCTGTTCCTTGCGTCGGTCTCGTTCCTCTGTCCCGGTTTGTTTTCCTCCAACGTGTTGACCCGGGACAGAACCTGCTTCTCCATGTCATCTATCTTGTTCTGCAGCAGATCCTTCAGGCTGTTCGTCTGCGCGCTGTTATTTCCTCGACTGTACTGCTGCATTTGACAGAGGGAGACAGATATTGAGATAAAGACAAAGAGGAGAAACCCACCTTGTTCGGATTCCTGTGAAAGTGTTCTTTATATAAATCTGAAGTTAATAAATGCAGATGACTAACCACAAGTTATTCAGAGACAATACTTCTTGGTTAAATAAAACACAGATTTCAAAGCGAGGTGCTCGTTTAAATGAACTTCGGAGCGGTGAGCCTCTCTCTTTTCAGCCTACCTCCAGGTTCTCCAGTCTCTGTTTGAGCGTCTGTAAAGTCTGTCCCAGTTGCGCCAGAGTGTCTGCGGTGCCCCGGGATACATCCCCCATGGTGTTCTTGGCCCCTGGCCGTCTCCCACCGGGTCCCGCTGCAGCCGGGAGACTCTGGCTTTCGCAGCGGCTCAGCTTGGACTTTAGATCCTTGATAGTCTCCTTTTGGTTCACGATGGTCTCCTTCTGCTGCAGCACGGTCTCCCGCAGCTGAATGATTGTGGTTTTCAGGTCTTCCGCCGGCCCGCTGTTCTGCATGGCCGCGGTGCACAAGTCCACATCTTTGGGAACTGACGTGCAAATGAACTGCGTCTGTCCAAAGTCCTGTGCGGAGCCCTCTGCAGCAAACAGGCAGGAGATGAAGAAAAGTTTCCATGAAAATCCTTCCATGGTCCTGCTCCTTTGTGAAAACTGACGAGAGAAAGGTTTCAGCACCACGGAGCTGTCCACTGAAAACTGTGCGGCTCTGCTGCTGTGCGCGCTTTATATAGGGGACAGGAAGGAGCGCAGATCCACCGCATCACTGAGGGGAGGCAGCGGGTCCTGCAACACCTACTGAGTCCCCCCACCCCACCCCACCCCACCCCCCTACTTAAGGTCGCACTCGCTGTGTTCATGCGCATAGAAGGCGCGCATAAGAGAAGAGAAACGGATAAAACAGGACTCCTTAATAAATCTAAGCCCGAATCAAGTGGATTGAACATTTTTTCACCTTTTGCTTTCAATTTCAAAGAAAAATGTGAACTCTATTGCTCCCCCACTTGGGACTTATAGAATAGGAAATGGCCACCACTTACAGCCCATTTCATAAGTAATACTTAGCCTACTCACAATATGAGATAGTAAATGTTTCGGTAAGCTGCTCCTTTGTTATTTATTATTTATTGTTATTTTTCCGATTTTCTCTTTCTTTCTTTCCTTTTTTCCTTCTTTCTTTCTAAATTTCTTTCTTTCTAAATTTCTTTCTTTCTTCTATTGTGAAATCGTAGTCACTTAGACAGTTAAGTGTCAAGAAAGTTTTGTGATTAAATTTTACTTTAGAAACAAACTAGTAGAACTGAACTATATAGATAAGTTTTCTTGATTTAAAAAACACCGCAGGAACGTATGTAACATGGTGGTAATTTGCCGCTGTTTTGTTATTAATTTGTATTTTTTTTGTTTCTTTACCAATTATCAAATTGTTATACTTACAAAAATCTCAGGGTTTGTAGTCAGCTTCAGCTAAATTATATTTATAGTAAATTTATGAGTAAACGTTACATTATCAGATTATTAAGATATAAAGCTTCTTAATCCAAAAATACACAAATGTAGCGCATTTCAATTTTCCCTCACTTTTCTTCAGGTTCTTTTGGTCCACCTTAAACTGACCGACTCTCTGTGTAAACCATGAGAGCAGCCCATTCCAGCAGCAGACTTCCTAACTCCACTATATTTCTCCATAGCTGCATGAGCTTCATGATTATCTACACAACAAAAAAGAAAAGAAAACTTTTATATCTATCAAACATATTATAGTTCAACAGAATCCTCCCGTTTCTTAAAAATAAATCATTAAACTAGATTAACACCACTATTTCTTTGCCCCGCCTCTATCAGTTCTATCAGCATTTCTGATCCCACAACCTGAAAGGGAGTCATGTTAATTCCCACCACTACAACAGCGGAGGCGCTGAAAGGAAAGGAAAACGTATCCAAATAATTAAACAGACTCTTATGTAGCCTAACCATGTCCCGCGGGTCTGGCATTAATAAATAAGATAGCCTACCCAGCAGAGGAAGGAGCACAACACTTCAGCGGATATCATACTGGGAAGGCAAATCACCACTGATGGATATGGAAGGGTAAGAGGGAAAACTTTGGGAGGAAAAAAAACAGGTTGAATTCAGAAGCAATTATTCCCTCCACACTTTCTACTGTATATGACTTATTTGATCAAATATCCTTTTTATTTCTCCTGTCCACTGAAAAAAGCAGTGGTGTGGCCATAAAAATGAGAGAAGAGCTAAAGATTTTTAACAAAAACAATATTTTGCATGATAATTCAAAACGTTTTTTTTCTTGAAATATAGGACATTGCAATACAAAAAAAAATGTAAAATATGAAACCCTTTAAAGATACACCAGGAATGGTTTTTAAAACTATTTCCACAGCTTTAGTATAAAAGATGAATAGCAGAGCTTTGTGTTATTTGGGCGAGGGTGTCATAGGGGCAACATCAAGAGATTAAAAAAAAATCTGTTTCATGACTAACATTGTTGAGGAAAATACAGTTACTCCTAAAAGGTTTGACTGTGAAGCCTGTATGTAATTTTCATCATCTGTACTATCCAAGACAAGTTTAAGTACAAAAAATAAAATATCCAGTAAGAAAAGTAGCAGAACTAGAAAACAACCCCTGACTTTTAATAATTAAAAAGTTGCTTTTAAAAAGCAAGACAAAAAAAAACTAATTCATAAAAAAACAGCATAACTTTTTAATAGATATTGTGAAATAATACAATTCTGCATGTAAATAAAGTTTATCTGGTTTTGAATGAGAAGAAGTTATTAATAATAGTTCAGATTGAAGATATCCGAGTGGCCTTAAATATTATACAACAAACAAGAACATTTTGTTATGAGCCATTAAGACTATACTCTTCAAAGAAGTCCCAGACTAATAAAGCAAGTTTAATAGGAGAATCTGTCAGTGCTACCGTTTCCTTTTCTAAATGGTGCTCACAGAAAGCAAACAAAAAGAAACCTGCAAAACATATAATCTTGTTGCTGGTTATCACTTTTTATTTTAACCAGAGCTAATTTATACAGCATAGCTTTAAAATGACAAGCCTGTCATTTGTATACAGTACAGCAGCTCAGAGAGGACACTAATCAGTAATCTCACATTATCTACACTCACCAGCTTACATTTACCCCTGATTGCAGGAGCTAAAATTGTTCTTATCCACAGGGCTCAACCTCTGCACCAGCTTTCACATAGAATAGTCTTAATAGAAAAATCACAGGTTTGCAGACAGCTGAGGAGCTCTGACCGCCTCGCTCAGAGTCTAATCACTTCCCCATCCCTGTCTGTGTCCGAGCTCTGCCTAAAACAGCCAAAAGAGCACTGCAAAAGTGTGTCTATTTTCTCGCCAACATTTCTGTGTTCTTTCCCTTTGCTGTAGCATTTAAGGCAGCATTTTGCAGAGTTCTGTATGTGGGATGAAAAGGAGCCTTGCAGTTTGCTGTAATTTGTTTAATCATCGATCCAACAAGTTTCTAATCAGCGAGTTGCCACGCTGAAGGCAGGGAACTGTGGCTGTAACAAATGGTTAATGACAGAGTCTAATTGGTGAATCGCAGGACAGGCATGTAACAGATACACCTTATCTCTTCACATTTAGGCCAGAGGGATTTTTATTTGCCATTGGGACTCCTTATAAGAAGAGCTACAAATCATGGGGTAATGCTATAAGCAGCTACAGAAGTAATGTTAGGCTTGTTTACCAAGAAACGAGTAGTTTTCAATGGATTTAATCAGGCAGATCCAATGTTTAACATGCGTTAGCAGCATTTAACTATCCGCAGAGATCTCAAATTCAGACCAGACAGGTTGACCAATGTACAAGAACATCTCAGAAATTTTTTTTTTCTCAAAGTGAAAGTTAATTCCAAGTAATTACTAACAGGATGATTCTGGAAGGCATGTCCATGGATTTCTTTCACTCATTACATAGTTAGAGCTTCTTTTTCTCTGCTGCTTTGACTTTGGAACTGATATAACACAGAGATCCAATAAGAGCAGATGACATGGCCACCACATGACCAAAGACAATACTGGACCAGCAGTAACTTGGATTCTGTGCATCTCTCTTCCTCCCAGTTTCAGAAACCTGTTTAAGGAAATGCAAAGATTACACCCATGTGAAAAGAGGACTTTGGACCATGGACCAACCACCCTTACCTTATCTCCATAGCCCATACTATAAGCTTCTGACTTGTCCTGTTCACACAAGGTTTAACACAAGGACCATAAGGTTTGAAGCTCAACTTGATAACTCTATGTAAGACTGCTTTTAGAGCTCCAACTGAAGCTACAGTCCACACCAGAAAAAAAAAAAAAAAACCTGAAAGAGCTCTGCATCTTCTTGACCAGACATTTCCCTACCACTTAACTTCCATTAATAAGCAAAAACACAGAACTTTATGCACAACCAGCTTCTTGAACAATGACATCTACCAGCTCAACCTCCTTGTACGTAGATGGTGCCAATAAAGAGTATTGTGTAAAGAACATATAACATATCTGTGTTTAACATTATTTTTAATAGCTGTAGACCATAATCTAATAAATAATATAATATATATATATATATATATATATATATATATATATATATATATATATATATATATATATATATATATATATATATATATATATATATATATATATATATATATATATATATATAGAGAGAGAGAGAGAGAGAGAGAGAGAGAGAGAGATAAGATAAGATAAAGATAAATCCACCTTTTAAAGATCTTTAAGTTGCAGTATTAGAATGAGACAATTGAAGGATACAACCACAAAGTCTTGTACACAAATATGAAAAATAAAATATGATAGCCCTAATGATCCCTCTTACACTTTGTTAGGCATCCTTTGCTATTTTGGAGGTTTTGATACATTTGAAATATAAAATGATGATGTTTAAACAGGGTACTTTCATCCTCAGTACAGATTATTTGATGAATAATGTAAAGTGACAGTCAGGATAAACACAATTTGTTAATCCAGATGATTTGTGACTCACTAATTAGCTATAGAAATAAGCTGTATTAATGCAAGTGCAAAACAATTATCAAGCAGGAAATGTAACACTGGAGGATCAGCAGTGATTGCAGGACTTAGATAAATGATTGTTTTTTTGTCATGACTCAGAACAGAGGGATGCAGTATGCAGGCAAGAAAGACAGTGGGATAACTTCAAAAAGGGTTTATTAAAACACTGACGGATGTGCAGCAGCAGGGTGTCTGAGGCAGGAAACTCTGCAGAGAGGGAAACAGGTTAATGACCACGAAAACCTGACAGAGGATAATCTGAAAGTGTGAGTCACTAACCTGGTTTATAGCTCAGTATGCGCCCAAAGAACGAGATGGATACCAACCGGTCGGCTGACAAGACGCAGCAGTAGCCGCATAGAGCCTTGAACATATCAGAACTGACAGGAAATCGGATCTTAGGTGTGTTATTCCTCACCTAAGTGTTTTAGATTATGAAAGATAGAAAAACCTGTTTTCAAATGAGTCTTTCAGATAACTAAGTAGAAGATTTACATTTATGGGTCTGGCTATGAGGCTCCTTTTAAAGCTTTGACTCCTGAGAACAACAGAGAGAGCCACGTTGAGGCGGTCGGAAGATAACTCCGGAAAACATCTCAGCCTTGCAGGCCTCACATACTCATTTAGGATATCTGTTTCATTAACA